CCTGAGCCAACATTTTGGTTACTAAGCAAGAACGTTGTTAAGTGAGTTTCACCATATTTTACAAGTAAGCCACTCCCACTCAGTCACATGGCCAGTAAGCCACTCCCACCCAGTCACATGGCCGGTAAGCCACTCCCACAAAGCAGGCCACACCTACAGAAGAGGTTCTAAAAATTTTGAAACCCACCACTGAGTTGGAAGGACAGGAAGGGCATCTTTGAACAGATGAACAGAGTTGGAGGATACCTTAGAGGTCATCTAGGCCAACACCCCACCCAAGCAGGAGACCCTACACCATTTCTGACTGATGGTGGTCCAGTCTCTTCTTGAAAGCTTCCGGTGATGAAGCTCCCACAACTTCTCAAGGCTCAAGAAGGAAAAATCAAACTTTAGCCAGATTGCTTTCAGATAATCCAATATCCTTGTCTGACAGCTTTATTAAGAGGAGGCGGAGGAAAGAGGAGGAAGAGGGGGAGGAGAAAGAAGAGGAGGAGGAAGCGAAAGAAAAGGAGGAGGAGGAGGAAGGAGAAGGAAGAGGAGGAGGAGGTGAAGGCGAAAAATCAAACTTTGGCCAGATTGCTTTCAGATAATCCAATATCCTTGTCTGACTGCTTTATTGAGAGGAAGAGGAGGAAGGAGGAAGAAGGGGAGGAGAAAGAAGAGGAGGAGGAAGGAGAAGGAAGAGGGGGAAGAGGGAGAAGGAAGAAAAGGAGGTGAAGGTAAAAAATCAAACTTTGGCCAGATTGCTTTCAGATAATCCAATATCCTTGTTTGACTGCTTTATTAAGAGGAGGAGGAAGCGAAAGAAAAGGAGGAGGAGGAGGAAAGAGAAGGAAGAGAAGAAGGAGGAGGAGGAAGAGGAGGAAGTGAAAAATCAAACTTTGCCCAGACTGCTTTCAGATAATCCAATATCCTTGCCTGACTGCTTTATTAAGAGGAGGAGGAAGAAGGAGGAGGAAATGTTTAGAGAAGTATAGGGAAAAAGAACCTCAAATGGAAAGCAAAAGAACAAGGCTCCAAAGAGTAAAACAAGAACTTAAAATCAGCCATCCCTTACATCCGGAGCATGGAAAGAGAGGAAGGGAGAAGGCAGAGAAATCCCTCCTAGTTCTTTAACATTCGGAGTCTTGGAATGTACCATGAAATGGTGCAATTCAGGAGTCTCATCCTTCACTCACCCAAGCGCAAGCTGCAGTTCTGGTTGTCCATCTCATTGGCAATATGGCTCCCACGACAGATAAAATCCTTGCCCCAAAGCTGGCGGGATCCTTGCAGAGACACCACAGTAGCGTTGGCTGGATGGGTAGTGTTGGAATCCATGACTAGATCCTCTGGGTTGATCCACTGGAGCGTAGGGCGTGGGTAGCCCCCAGGCCAACTGCAGGACAGTTGAACCTCCTGAGAATTTTCCATGGAAGTCTTGGCCCAGCATTTCGGTGACAATGGTGGGGGATCTGAAGAGAGAAGCTTGCAAAAGGACTGGGAAGTAGCTAGGGTCTTATTTATTTACATTTTTATGGCCTACGATCCGATAACTCAGCGTTGCCCGGGTTTTTATTTATAGGGGGAAAAATGTCTGGACCAAACATAATTTCTAATGTTGGATTTTCCCCCTTACCAGAGGGAGCCCCCTTGTGGAGTACTGTGAAGCCGTTACCATGACAACTCCANCTTGGCAACTGGTTTATATTTATGACGGATGTTGAACTTCTGACAAAGTCAATGGAAGAGCCAGATTCACTTTACAACCATATGATTCCCTTAACAGTAGCAGGTAGGACAACACTCCAGAGTCATTGCCCAGAGGATCACGGGTTGCCATCTCCCCTCTTTGGAAGAGCTTTATAGCTCCCACTGGCTTAAGAAAGCTCAAAACGTTCTTAAAGATCCATCTCATCCCGGGCACCTTTTTTTTTTTTGAACTTTTACCATCTGGCAGCCGGTACAGGGAAATAAAAACAAGGACAAATAGGCTGAAAAACAGCTTCTATCCCAGGGCAGTAACCATATTGAATTCTACTGTAGAGTGCAACATCGGGTTTTCAGTTTCAATTATACAGCATGTGAAGAAGGTGTGTTTGTGTTTTTATTTTTATAGCTATAATGTACACTGAAGACGGCATTTAATTTCGTCATTGTACCATGTGCAATGACAATAAACTCAACTCAACTCAACAACTGCAGTGACTCCCTTAACCCCTGCGGCGAGGGGAAGTAAGAGTAGGCAAGAGGGGAAGAAGGAGGAGAAGAGGGGAGGAGTGGGGGCAAGAGAGGGGAAGAAGAAAAGAGGAAGGAGAGGAGGAAAGAAGAAAGGAGACAAGGGAGGTTGAGAAGGAGGAAGGAGTAGGGTTGTTGCAAATCAAGATGGAGGTACGGGGAGGCAAGAAAGTGACCCCAACTGTGTTTTCTATATTTGTAAAAAGACAGTGATAAACGTTAATAGTTATTAGATAAATGTTAATAATATTTACAAGTGTATATTTGTAAATGTATATGAAAGGGGGGGAAAAACTTTATACCAAATATGTAAGTTAAGGATTGCCAGTACTTCCAACAGGCCAAAGTGCCACTGTTTCGTTTCAATGGTTACTTACCTGTCACCTTCAGGTGGACGTACACTTCCCGCAGGCCTAGGGGGTTCTTTGCCTTGCAGATGTAGTACCCTTGGTCTCTGCTGGTGGAGCAGTTCTGGATGACAAGGGTGGAGACCTTGTCCTTTTGGCTGACGAGAAACCTCCCACCCGACCGGATCTCTACCTCCGCCTTGGAGAGGTTGCGCAGCCAGGTGATCCTCGCAAGTGGGTTGCCAGCGGTCAGTTCACAAGTCATCTCTACGGATCTCCCCACAAAGCAGCTCTTCATTGGGTTGGACATGACCATGGGCCTCTCTGACGCAGGAGGGAAGCAAAGTGGAGTTGGAACAGGGCTGGGTTCCTGCCAGTTCTAACCTCTTCTATAGAAGAGGTTCCACAAATCTACCGTGCCGTTTAGAACCGGTTCCAGCTCCCTCCCCCCGCCTGTCCGCACATCATCAAGATGATGGAGGCATTCCAGAGGAGGAATTCTGGGAGCTGAAGCCTTAAAGCTGTCAAGTTTGAACTCCCCTGTTTTTTTTCCCTCTAAAGGGTAAATTGACAGCTTTGAGTGCTT